GCTGATGCAATAAGGTAAGAAAAAGAAAATAAAAGGTATACTGATTGCGAAGAAAGAAATAAAACTCTTTGTTCATAGATGGCATGATTGTCTATGTAGAAGAATCTAAGAAGATTGACAAAAGAATTCACCAAAAAGCCCTCCTGGAACTAATAAACAATTATATCAAAGCTGCAGGATACAGAGTCAATATATGAAGGTCAGCTATTTGTTATATACCAGTAATGAACCAGTGGGATTTGAAATTAAAAACAGTACCATTTACATTAGCACCCCAGCAATGAAATACTTTGGTATACATCTAACCAAATATGTACAAGATCTATATGAGGTAAACTACAAAACTCTGATGAATGAAATTTTTAAAAACTTAAATAAATGGAAGAGAGATCCATGTTCAAAGATAGGAAGACTCAATATTGTCAAGATCTCAGCTTCATCTATAAATTCAGTGCAATGCCCATCAAAATCTCAACAAGTTATTTTATAGATAATGACAAACGGATTCTAAAGTTTATGTGGAGAGGGAAAAGACCCAGAATAGCCAACACAATATTAGAGAAGAACAAAGTTGGAGGATTGACACTGCCCAACTTTAAGACTTACTGTACAGCTCTAGTAATCAAGAGAGTGCAGTGTGGATGAAAGAACAGACAGATAGATCAGTGGAGCAGAATAAAGAAAGTGTGAAATAGACCCTCATAAATAGAGTCAATCGAGGAACTAAGGCGAAATAATGGAACAATGGAGAAAAAAAAAATAGTCTTTTCAACAAATCTTGCTGGAACAACCGGATATCCACATGTAAAAAAACGTAGACACAGAACTTATAACCTTTACAAAAACTAACTCAGAATAGATCACAGAGCCTACATGTAAAATGCAAAACTGTAAACCCCCTTGAAGGTCACGTAGGAGAAAATTCAGATGACTTTGAGTTTGGTGATGACTTTTTTGATATTATGCCATCGGTATGATCCACAGAAGCAGGAATTGATAAACTGCTTCATTAAAATGAAACGTTTCTTCTCTGCAAAGCACACTGTCAAGGGAATAAAAAGACAAGCCACAGAATGGAAGAAAATCTTAGCAGAAGATATATGTGATCAAAGGAGTTATCCAAAATATATGAAGAACTAGAACTCAACAAGAGATGAACAATGAGCCAAAGACCTTACTGTACACCTCACCGAAGAAGATCTACAGATGGCAAAGCATATGAAACAATGCTCCGCTTCCTGTATCATCAGAGAAATGCAAATTAGGGGCGCCTGGGTGGCTCAGTCAGTTGAGCATCCGACTTTGGCTCAGGTCATGATCTTACAGTTCATGGTTTTGAGCCACACGTCGGGCTCTGCACTAACAGCTCAGAGCCTGGAGCCTGCTTCAGATTCTGTGTCTCCCTCTCTCTCTCTGACCCTCCCCTTCTCATGCTGTCTCTATATCTCTCTCAGAAATAAATAAAACATTAAAAAAATTTATTTTATTTATTTCTGAGAGAGGGAGACAGCATGAACAGAGGAGGGCCAGAGAGAGGGAGACACAGAATCTGAAGCAGGCTCCAGGCTCTGAGCTGTCAGTGCAGAGCCCGACATGGTGCTCAACATGGGGCTCAAACCCACGAACCGTGAGATCATGACCTGAGCCGAAGTTGGATGCTTAACTGACTGAGCCACCCAGGCGCCCCAAAACATTAAAAATTTTTTTTAAAAATTAGAAATGCAAATTAAAATTAGATACAACCACACCTGTTAAGAGTGGCCACAATCCAGAGCACTGACAACACCAAATGATGCCAACAATGTGGAACAACAGGAACTCTCCTACATTGCTAATGGAAATGCACAGCGGTACAGCCTCCTTGGAAAAACAGTTCAGTCATTCTTTTAAAACTAAACATACTCTTACCATACAGCCCAGCAATTCTCACTATTCATCCAAAGGAATTGAAAACTTACATCCACACAAAAACCTGCACACAGAGGTTTATAGCAGCTTTAGTGATGATTAACAAAATTTAGAGGCAACCAAGATGTCCTTCTGTACATGAAAGAATAAATAAACGGTGATACATCCAGCCAATGGAATATTTTTCAGTGCCAGAAAGAAAGGAGCTATCAAGCCATAAAAAGACATGGAGGAAACTTAAGTGCATATTACTAAGTAAAAGAAACCAATTTGAAAAGGCTGCGTACTGTATGATTCCAACTACATGACGGTCTGGAAAGGATGAATCTTTGGAGATTGTGAAAAGATCGGTGGCGCCAAGGATTGGGGCAAAGAGAAAGAAATTCGAATAGGCAGAGTGCAGAAGACTTGTAGGGCAGTGGAAATAGCTCACATGACGCTATAATAGTGGACACATGTCAACATACATTTATCAAAGACCACAGAATTTACAATACCAAGTGATTCCCAAGGTAGGCTTCACTACAGAGTTTGGGTAGTGATAACGACGTGTCAATATAGTTCATCAGTTGTAATAAATGTACCACTCTGGTGTGGGGTGTTAATGGGGGAGGCAGTTTGGAGGGGAGCAGGGGGTATGTGAGACATCTCCGTACCTTCCTCTCAGTTTTGCTGTGAATTTACAAATGCTCTAAAAAAATTAAGTATTAAAAAAAAAAAAAGTTAGGATGTGGACAGTTGAATGTAAAGAAGGGAAGATTAAAAGGTGGATAAAAATGTTTTTAAATGTGTACATCTTTGATCTACTGAGCTTTGATTGGGCAAACCTAACAATAATCCAAGCTGCAGCCCTGCTTGCATGTTATATTGTTTGTGAGTGTTAATAGATAAAATCTTGTCAATTTGACAGGGTGACTTGGTGGCTATCAGTTGAGCCTCCGACTCTTGATTTGGACCAAGTCATGATCCCAGAGTTGTGGGATGGAGCCCCATGTAGGGCTCCATGCTGAACGTGGAGCCTATTTAAGATTCTGTGCTGGGGCACCTGGGTGGCTTAGACGGTTAAGCATCTGACTTCGGCTCCGGTCATGATCTCACGGTTAATGAGTTTGAGCCCCTCATCCGGCTCTATGCTGACAGCTCAGAGCCTGCAGCCTACCTGGATTCTGTGTCTCCCTCTCTCCCTCTGCCCCCCCCTTGCTCAATTCTGTCTTTTTCTCTCTCTCAAAAATAAATAAACATTAAAAAAAATGAAATAAAATAGCCTATTGTTTCTTTGATCAAACAAAGAAGATGAAAGAAGGCTGACAAGATCTCGCAAATTTTGTCCATGCTTATGTGTTTCTATTTTATTGGGAAAATAAATGAACAAAAAATTAAGTTTACCAGTGCAGTGAACTGGTAATTTTATTGTGTATGTTAAGTCTAATATGTTGATTCTAAATACAGATCTACATCAAGTGGCTTCATTTTATACCCTGCTTTGTTCCAAAAGGAATGGAATTAGTTACCTTTTGTCCAAGCTAGAGGACCATTTCAGTATAATCAAAGTAACATAGGAGCTCTATGAACTTAGTAAACACTTGCCTAGATCATGACGGTCTTTAATAAATCTATTTAGTGTGTATGTGAGGAAACGTGAGGAGGCTCAGGAGCAAGCTACTCTTGGTTAGGATGGAGGAGGGTAGAGAATCGCTGCGTAGATGTGTGCACAGCTTCCTTACTCACACCATCAGCTTCACCAGGAGAACGACTTTACTACTTAGTCTTCTCTCTTCAGTTGTGAGTCTAACTCTTCAGAAATGAGAAATGAGTATAGTATAGGGCTACTTCTTGAAGGAATACAGATAGGAATTAAAAAGTGACAAATTGAATAATGTTTTTACTTAGAAAATCATGGTGAAGAAAATCCATTTTGTAGATAAACTTCTTAAGGAGGGATAGGGTAGAAAAGTGAACACTCAAAGGAACGTTGATACGTCATATATTCTGTCATATCTATCACCTCATGGTTACCTTTGTGGCATCTATCACAAAGACAATAAAATTATTATTTTCTTCTAGAAAGTTACACGATATTAACTCAGTAAATACCTAGATAGCAGTTAAGGAGTTTATACATCTGTCTGCCCACACACCTTTCTTTAAGTCATCAAGAGAAGATTCTGGAATCCTCAAAATGTTTTGAAAAGACTCATTGTTCTGTTTCTAAGCTCAGATGAAGGCATCAATTTATTATTCTTTGCAGCCTTCCTTATGTTTGACAACTTACTGTTTAAGAGTATATGGGTATTTTGCATTTGAAAGACTCAAAGCCTGGCTGAGGCTTATAAACACTCGATTGGCTTCTACATGTAGGTCATTGTATATATAGATGCTTAGGTGAAGCGTATACACACACACACACACACACACACACACACACACTTACCCCCTCATGTTCTGTGTGTCCTCACAAAGACTATTCATTGTGTTGTATAGAAACTATTTTTGAGTAAACTTGATATCCAGATAAATCTCATGTGATTGAGGAAATGCCTTTCATGTATCTGTTTGATTGATATTTATTGATTTCTTACTGTACCAAGACACTGTGACGTGTATCAGAGATACAGGGATGAGTCAGTCAGATATAGCCTTGAGAAGCTTGTTGTAAGGAAAAATAAGTTACTGATATTAGAAACAGAATCTTTAAAATACCCGATTTGTTTCTCTACTAGAAGATTGACATCTCTTTGCTCACTGGCCGGAACCTTGCAAATTTTCAGCTATGGCACTATTGAGAGTCAGGGTTGTCTTCAAAATTGACGAGAGTCAAGACTCTGAACTTGATCCAGTTTTCTTGTTCTCATACGTACTAAAAACAAAACAAAAATCAACTTCAGCATTACAAGATAAAAATTTTAAATGCAATGGGTCATAATTATGATTGTTACTTTTAAAGGCGTACAAAAATGCTGAGTTGATTGGCAAAATAGTAATGTAAGATATAATTCTGTGCTTATGTTTCTTTATACAGTTGAGTTTTATCGAAACGTAGTGATTCACTAAAAGGATTTCTTTTTGCTTGATATTTTTCTTCTCTTTTGCAGGAATTTATTTTATCAGAAGATTATAACAAGATGACTCCTGTGAAAAACTATCAAGGTAGGAATGAGAGAGCCGTGTTTTTACCTAGACTTTGAAATGTTTCTTGATGGCTTCCCTTTACAATAGTCAGGGGGGACAAAACAGAGCAATCCTTTGAGGTGAATATTATCCCAGTCTTTGAATTAAGAAAGTGAGGCCTAACAAAGTTGAAGTTGGCCTGTGGTCCTGTAGCTGGTAAAGTGCAGAGCCAGACGGGCTCATTGTGATTCCAGAATCTCCAGCCTATGTCCTTTGTCTCTACCACACCACACTGCCTCGAAGCAGTGCAGCAGGCACGGAGAGTGGGGCCAGTGTTAGGAGTGAGCTATTTCACATGGGGTTCATTTCATTTTTGGTTAAATGTTTTTAAAGGCTTAGAGTGTTCATGTTGTCTAAGGGGAAGGAATTATGGTTTTATTGTGTCTTCAACATTGGCCCTATACCATAGGCTATGGCCAGAAGATGGATCCGGAGCTGTTTTCAGTAATGATTTATTTATCCAGACCAGTGGTGTCATGGCATCAGCACATTAGAGGTGGGCCTCTTAACACTTGGAGGTTACTTCACCCACATTTCTTGACTTCATTCATCCTACATGATCATCCAGCCTCTCTTTTGATACCTACAGAGACATACCTAGCCACCTGTCCTGATTTTGTAAAATTCTAAGTATTAAGTTCTTTATTTCTAGATTTTGAGCCAAAATTCATTTCCACATGGATTTATTCTTTAATTTTTTTCACATAGCACTTACTAAGTATTCATTGAGCACCTAATGTGTTCCAGCAACTGAAGATTCTAATAGTGAATAAGACATATATACTACCTGCCTATAAACTACCCTGTTTTATCTCTTTAATCTCTTCTCTTTTCCAGCGTAAACATTTTACATTATTCTTTACATGACCTGAATTTTTGTTCTTAAAAAATTTTTTTTAGTTCTCTCGGTCACAGTGGTCTCGGGATATCGTATTGTACCTTTGAGGCCATTTGAAATGTAACCCATTGTGGTAGGCAGCCTCTAAGATGGCTCCTAATGATCCTTGTCTCTTGGTATTCACGCCCTTGAGTGTAGACTCCCCTTGAGCGTAGACTGGATCCGAAATATGGCAAATGATAGATATCACCTCTACGATTAGGTTACAAAGACACTATTCCTTCTTGCTTGCCCTCTCCTGCTTTTGCTGGTTCTCATGGAAGCCAGTTGCCATCTTGTGAGCTACTTTGCAGAGAAGCCTATGTGGTGAGGAACTAAGAGAGGCTACATCAACAGCTGGTAAGGAACTAAAGCCTTCAGTTAGTTCAACAGCCTATGAGGAACTGAATCCAGTTGATGCTTATATGAGAGAGCTTGGAAGCAGGTCCTCCCTCAGTCAGTCTTTCAGATAAGATGATAGCCCCGTCCCATACGTTGATTTTACCAGAGGTAATACCACGCTAAGCTGCACCAAGATTTCTGATCCACAGAAACTCCAAGATAATAAATGTTTACACCACTAAGTTTTGGTGTAATTTGTTATACAATAGATAACCCATACATACATGTCATGTGATAACTACAAAATGGTATTTCCTTCCGGTCCTGGTCCTGTTCTACTCTAAAGGGTGAGCTTTCTGAGAGCCACTTTACACTGTGGGCTCATGTGCAGCAGTGAGTGCAAATTCTTTAATGGTTCGCACTCACGTTGTTATTAGGCTACATCTCCTGTACTTGTAAAGCTGTTGTTTCTTTGGTTAGGGAGGTAGGGAGTAGTTTTGTTTTGTTTTTAGCCTAAATGCTGGACTTCATATTGTTATTCATCATCTCATTTTATTTAGTCCATCGTCTCTTATTGAGATATTTTGAAATCCCAGTTGTCATTAAACCTTTTTTAATGCAATGCTAAGTCCATGAGAGAAACAAGAGGGAACATCCCATGTACAAGAAGCAAAAAAAAAAAAAAAAAAAAAGAAGAACTGAAACTCAAAGTGATATGTATACCATACCTGACATTGCAGCTGCTTGGGGAGAAAAATAGAACTTCTAACAGCTTGAAGCTTTTGTCTGAACATTCACTTAGGGATGGAAGAGGAGGCCTAGGGCTTGAGTGAGATGGGAAATTGCAACTGATATTTACATATAAAATGATATGTAGAGAGGGAAAAAGGCTTCCAGATAAATGAAAATTGCAACCTAAAAGTTTGGATTTAGCGTATAAATTTAAATCACACATGTAGTGCTAGAAGCAGCTTAAAGAATTTAACATAAAAATTGGTCCTGAGCCAATGGTGTCCTTGGGGTACAGCTAGAAATAAATTTAAAAGCTCTCTTCAACAAGACAAGTCACACAAAGATCCTACAGCAAAAAGAAGCCCTGCTTAAGATAAATTCATGATAATAAAAATAAAATTATAAAAGGTAAAAGGAGTCAATACACTCTGAGTAAATATTAACGGATATCAAAAATGGTGGTGAACTAAAAATTTTTTCATGCGTTAAAAAAAACAGCAAGAACTCAGACCTGCACTAAAAGAAACATTAAAGGAATTCCTTCAGGAAGGAAGAAAATGATGCCAAAGGAAAATAGGGATCTTCACAAAAGAACGAAGAGCACCAGGTGTGGTTACTATGAGAGTTTTTCTTATTATTTAAATCTTCTCAAAAGATGACTATTAAATAAAAATAATAACAAAGTAGCATGAGGATCATAATATGTAAAATTAAAATGTTTGACTGCAGTAACACAAAAGCTAAGAAATGGGGAGAAATGGAAGTATACTATTGTAAGATTCTTAGGCCATATATGAAGTGGGATAGAATCACTTGAAGGAAGACTGTAACTTAAAGATGTATAGTTCTAGCCCTAAGGCAACCATAAAATAACAAATCAAAAAGTTACAACATAAGCCAACCAAGGAGATAAAATGGAATCATAAAAATCATTCTCAATTCTCATTTTCAATCTCCTTCCCCCAAAAAAGAGGGAAAAGGAAAAATAAACACATGGGAAAATAAAAAACAAATAGCAAAGTGATAGATTTAAACCAAACAGTTCTCAATAATCATGTTAAATGTGTGTGGTCTAAGGCCAATTAAAAGGCAGAGGCTATCAGATTGAGTGGAAAAAAAGGAGACCCAAATAAATACCACCTATGAGAAATGCACTTTAAATATAAAGACCTAAAGAGGTTACAAATAAAAGGATAGCGAAATATATACCATGCAAAGACTAGTCAAAAGAAGGCTGGAGTGGCTGTGTTAATATTAGTCAAAGTAGACTTCAGAGAAAAGAATATTCCCAGGGATAAAAGATTATATTACGAGAGATTATTGCCTAATGACTAAGGGGTCAGTCCATCAGGAGGGCATAACAATCCTAAGTGTTGATACACTTAGTAAACATAGCTTTGAAATATATGAAGCAAAACCTGATGAAACTTCAAAAAGAGAAATAGACACATCCACAGTTGCAGTCAGAAGTTTTAATACTCCTCTCTTAATAATTGATTGAATAGATCAATAATTGACAGAATGAGCAGGCAGAAAATCAATAAGGTATAAAAGGTTTGAACAGTACACAGCCACATTGTTCTAGTTGACATCTGTAGAACATTCCATTCACCCAGAACAGAAGATACATTCTTTTTAACTACGTAAGAGCATTTATCAAGGTAGACTAACATTCTGGGTCATAAAATGAGTCTCAATAAATTTGGGAAAATTCAGATCATGCAAGGTGTGTTCTCTGATCAAAATGGTATTGAAGCAGGAGTCAGTAACAGAAATATCTTTGGGAAATCCCCAAATATTAGGAAGCTAAATATCATGGGTCTTCTTAATAATCTGTGGTTCAAAGAAGAGATTGGTTTGGAAACAAATCAATTTATGGGATGCTGCTAAAGCAGTGCTTAAGGGGAAGTTTATAGCACTAAACATCTATGTTAGAAGAGAAGAAAGGTCTCAAATCAGTGACCTTAGTTTCTACATCAAGAAACCAGAAAGAGACCAAATGAAAACATAAGCAGAAGAAAGATCATACTAGAAGTTCATGAAATGGAAAACAGAAAATAGAGAAATATCAATGACACCAAAAGCTATTATTTTTGTTGAGAAGGTGAATAAAAGCGATAAACCTCTAGCCAGACGTACCAGGAAAAAAAGAGAGAGAGAGAGAAGATGCAAGTTACCAATATCAGGAACAAGGGAAGTGAAACTATTTAGAGATTGTAGAAATATTTAAGGTTAATAAGGAATATTATGAACAACTTTATGCTAAAAAATTTCACAACTTAAATGAACAAATCTTTGAAAGGTAAAAATTGCCAAAGGTCACTCAAGAAGAAATAGATAACCCTAATAGTCCTATATCTGCTAAAGAAATAGAGTTTATAATTAAAACCTTCCCACAAAGAAAATGCCAGGCTTTTTAAAAATCAAACATTGGAGAAAGAAATAATATAAACTCTGCACAAACTCTTGCAGAAAAAGACTTTCCAACTGATTTTTGAAGCCAGCATTACATTATACTAAAACTAAACAAACACAGTACAAGAAGAGAGATATACAGGCCAGTGTTCCCCATGAAAACAGATGCAAAAAATATAAATGAGATTTTAGCAAATCAAATTCAACAGTATAGGTATACAAAGGATAGTGCATCATGACCAAGCAAGAATTATTCCAGGTTTATACCCAGAAGAAATAGGTGCAGGGATTCAAACATTTGCATTCCATTGTACATAACAGCATGAATCACAATAGCTAAAAAGTGGAAACAGCTTATATGTCCATGAATGGGTGAATTGATAAACAAAATGTGGTATATCAGTAAGATGAAGTATTATTTGGCCACAAAAAAAAAAGGGAATGAAATACTGATACATGCTACAACATGGCTGAACCTTGAAAACATGCTAAGTAAAAGAAACTAGATACAAAGGACCACACTTTGTATGAATAAATTCATATGAAATGTCAAAAATAGGGGGAATCCTTAGAGATAGTAAGTAGTTAGTGGTTGCCCAGTGATGGGGAGAGAAGATTGGGGGTATGGGTGTCTTTTTGGGGTGATGGAAAACATTCTATAAGTAGAACATTTTTCCATGATGATTGTACAACATTGTGAATATACCAGAAACCACTGAATATTATATACTCTAAAATGACTTAAATGGTGAATTTTACCTCAACAAACATTTTTTAAAAATCAGTAATACCAAAATTAAAGACAGTACAAGAAAGAAAAAGTACAGACCAGTATCTCTCATGAACTAAGATGTTAAAATCCTTTAAAAAATTCTAGCGTATCCAACAATAGTTGAAGGAATTACACACCCAGGACCAAGGGGATATATTCTAGATATGCAAAGCTCGTTTAACATTTGAAAATTAGTGTAATCCATCACATCAAAAGTCTACAGAAGTAAAATGATATGATCATATCAATTGGTGCAGAAAAAGCATTTGATAAACTCTGGCACCCATTCATGATGAAAACTCTGAGCAAACTACCAATAGAGGCGAACTTCCTCAGCTCGATAAAGAAACATCTACAAAGACCTACAACTAACAGTGTACTTAATCGCGAGAAACGAGATGCTTTCCCCCTATGATCAAGATCAAGGCAAGGATGTGCTCCCTCAGCATTCCTATTCAAAAAGTTTAGCTGGACTTCAAGCCTGGGTGTCTGAAGCTTAGTTTTATGTATGTACCTTTGAAGGAGTCCTTTTTGAATGAAAGAAACCTGTCACCTTAGAAGGAATATGTTCTCTGAGTTTTGGGGTTTGTTTTGTGTTTGTTTTCTCAGTAGACCTCGGCAGCCTGACAAATAATCAACTTTGGCAGAGAGCATAGGGTTTTAGCCCTGGTTTCATCATTCATAGGTTGCACAGATTTGAGCGAGTCACTTCTTTGTGAACCTGTCTCCTCCTCGCACATAATGACAGCTCAGAGGTTTTAAAGCCCCTTGTCTTCCGGGCTGCTGTGATCTCCTTGGACTTAGAAAGGGATGAGAAAAAGGGACAAAGTGCTGGGGGCCACTTTCCCCTGAAATAGACTTGTGAAACTTGGGTTATTAGAGAGTTCATTTTTATTCTATCATTGACGGACCTCGATTTGGACATCTGATGACAAGATCTTCAGGAGTTTATACAGGAAGTTATATCTTTTAAATTAAAGACAGCATTTTGATTTTGACGGTGGCTAATACTCTGATAGGCAGATATTTAGTGCAGAGAAGTCATATTGTTATTGCTTCTGTACCCCTGCCGTGTCCTGTTAGATTCTCCATGCTTTGAGTATCAGATTTAAAAATACCGGGCATTTGGTGAGAATGGCTGTCCTGTGGGTACTCACTGTGGTAGCCGTTGGCTTGGTGGCCAATCTGAAAAGGCCATCCCTGCCAAAGCAGGTTATGTCTATAAAATGGGGAGACCACCCACCTTTGTAGGATCGTTTCAGAGACTAAGTGAATGAGTATACAGTGAAACCTTGGTTTGCGAGCATACTTCATCCCAGAAACATGCTTGTAATCCAAAGCACTTGTATATCACAGCGAATTTTCCCATGAGAAATAATGGAAACTCAGATGATTTGTCCCACACCTAAAAAGATTCATATAAAAATGATTATAATACTGTAATATAATACAAAGTAATAAAGCAAATACAAAATATAAAGAAAAATAAACAACCCACATTTACCTTTGAAAACCTTTGCAGCTGGTGTGAGGGAAACAAGAGAGGAGCGTTATTGTGTAGGACGACTTTCACCATCACTAATGGAATCACTGCTATCTATTGGCTCAGTGGAATCTCTTTTCATGCAACTTTAATAAGGAACCTATCCAATGACACATGCTTTTGCCTCTTGAGGATTTCACAGAAATATGACATTGCATTGTCATTAAACAGATTCATCTCTCATACTGCCTTATTCGGGTGGTGCTTTTCTACAAAATTTTACACCATTTCCTACATTTTACACATCTCCCTACTCTCATTTGAAGTGAGGGATTCCTCTGCCTTTTTCTCCTCCTCTGTAGATGAGATGCAGATGTAGACTTCTTATAAAAGCTTACAGTCTCAGCCACTACCATACCTCGTTCACACTTCTTTGATGATTTCCTTCTTAATTTCCATCGTAATCATCTTCTTACCACCTTTTCAACCTTTTTCTGCATGAGGTTATTGTATACGCTCACACAGATGTTGAGTATATAGTACAGTATTAATAGACTCTTGTCATATACCGTATTTAATGTAACTGGCAATAAGGCAGCAGAGGGAAGGGTCTGTATCTGCAGGCAGCCTGACCTAGAATGAAGCAAAGTATTCCTAAGCTTACCTCTTGTATGGAAAAGCAAAGGACTGTCCATAAGTGCTTTGAAGTGACAAAAAAGTACCAGTTGTGGGCACCTTTCAACATTCTGAAAAATCACTGATTTCTGCCAAACACTGGGGCCTGAGACCAAATATCCAAGCGTGGGAGACAATCACTCACAATCTTGAAGTGAGAGAGAGAGAGAGAGAGAGAGAGAACCACTAAGAACCATTATCTTAGTTGTAATCATGTGACATTTGGTGTCATGCACTACTCTTGTGCAATACATCTCTCATTTATCAAGTTAAAATTTATCAGAAAAGTTTGCTCATGTTGCAGAACACTTGCAGAACAAGTTACTTGCAATCCAAGGTTTTACTGTATTTAAGTATTTGGCACTTGTTAGACACTCAGAAATTGGCGAGTCATACTGTCCTTGTCAGTAGAACTTCATTGATCTATCCATCCTAACTTTATTTTCATGATCAAAATAGGAAACTGATGTTTTCTCTATCACATACATCATCACACTCACGATGAGTCTCCACTTGCCCACAAGACTGCCAGCTCCTGGGCACGGAGCCTACGGAGGTCCGGGTTCCCAGATATCAATCTTTGTTTGTTCCAGTCAGTTTTGTTGAGTGGCCATTGACCCCCCTCTACCTCACCTTTTGGAATTGTATAAAAAGAAAGCAAATTTTTATTGATTTTATTCAATAACTAAGAAGCCATGAGACCTTGGCCAAACTACTCAACTTCGTTGTGCCTCAGTTTACCCACATGTAAAATAGTGAGATGGAGTAGATGACATGAACAGTTGCTTCTAACTGTGAAATTGTGTGATTCTAAATGAAATTGTGTTGCCTCTGCGTATGAGCAGTCCTGGGAGGTTAGCCCTCATTATCACGTGTGTGCGTACTTTGACATAAGGGATATTTCATTCTCGTTTACGTGGCACTTGGGAATAATTCTGCCCTCCTTTCCAGCATTTGATTTCTTACAGAAAATTCATCTAGAACTCTGTTGTGGGTGTAAGCAGCCGTACTTCATCAAAAGGAGAACAGTAATGTTCTTTACTTTTTTTACGCTTACGTAAACTCACCCTGATGACTATTATGAGAACATCATTCCTAACACGTTCTCTCGTTTTGTGGTCACATTGTGCCACGTCCTGGCATTGTCCAGTCAGGCAGCCCTAACATGTCTGAGAGCAGTGGCCCAGGCCCTTAGGTAATGGGGGTCTGCATGGCAGGAAACTTCCGGTTGGTGTAGGTGGGCAAGAAAGAGAGCAGTTGGGAGGAAATGGATAGTTGTACAAAACCATATAGCAGCTCAAGCCCTCCCCTCCACAGCGGTGGACTTGCCTGGCAACAAGCACCGTTCCAGCCTGTGTGTAACGGCTGCCATACCGTCTGGGCTGCCCCGGCGTGAGGAGGAGACCACGATGGGGCTCTGTGGACCACGCTTGACCAGTCTCGTCTATGATGCTTTATGGGTTATTTTTGTATCTCTTGGTTTTTCAGCGCATCAGAGCAGAGTGACGATGGTCCTCTTCGTCCTGGAGCTGGAGTGGGTGCTGAGCACCGGTCAGGACAAGCAGCTCGCCTGGCACTGCTCGGAGAGCGGGCAGCGCCTGGGAGGTTATCGCACCAGTGCCGTGGCCTCGGGCCTGCAGTATCCTTTGCTGGACAAAAACCCCTTGGTGGTACCTTAGCTGTTGACTCCTTTCTTTCATGAAAAGCTTGGGTATGTGCGACGTGAAAATTTTTTGTTTGCTGCATTGCCCTGCTGATTAAGATTCTCACTGCCTTAACCAATACGCAAATCATTGAGGGGGATTAAAATGAGGTGATTTCCCCTCAAATAACGGGTCCTGCGGAGACTGTGACACAGGTCTGACATCCAGACAGGACACGGCCCGGATTTAGGAGTCTCAGCTGTCAAAAAGGATTCTGGAACGTGGAGATAAAACCATCACTGAAATACAGCCTTTCCCTTCTGTGCATAGAGAAGTAATTTACACATAGATATTAAGGTTGTAAAGAACCACAGGATTCCTATTTATTTTTAAAATATTCATGGGAGAGCTACCGCGCCAGGACCAGAGTAGGTTAGCCGGTATCTACATGGTAATGGGTACAGGCTTTATTCCGGGTATAAGACCCTTTCAGGGTATGTAGAGTGACACGACCTCTTATGTCCCGAGTCTTCAGGGCCCACATGCTTGGCGTGAGTACCTGCTAAATGCTGGGAGATCCCCACGTCTGGCCCCCTCGGCTCCAGCAAGCACGGGCTTGATGAGTGTGAAGCCCACATGGGTGATGCTACCATGAAGGAGTAAAGGGCCTCGGGCTTCGTAGTTTAAAAAGCAAAGCATCACTCTCCACCCTGTGACGAATGAGGAGCTGGATGGAAACAGACCACTTGCCAGCAAGAGCAGGAAGAAATAGTAAGACGCGCTTTCAGATGTTCATCTCCTATTTATGCAGTGCCTAGTCAGAGATTCTCAACAATCTGACAGAGTAGTTTGCTGTCTCCTCGCCGACGTGCGGCAGTAGCTGTGTGTGTGTGTGTGTGTGTGTGTGTGTGTGTGTGTGTGTGTGGCTAATGTCACTCCTGTTTTTCTCTCTGATTTTCCTCACTAGAAGAGCAAGATGAAGAAACTAAGAATGGCCATGGTGGAAGGTTGTAAATGTGGCAAGTTGCCAAGTAGAAACAAGGGTGATACAGAATGGAAGGCAGGATCAACTCATCTTGGAGAGGGTGATCTGCCTGTTAAGGAAAGAAAGTCCGAAGTTTACTTTCTGAAGGCCAGCTGAGACGAGCATAATGGTTGAATTGAAATACATGCACTCTTTTGTCAGTAGATTTCTTACAGTGTTCAAATCGGAAAGGCCCTTAGAGGTCACCTTGGCCAACTCCTGGTTTTACAGGTGAGTCAGCTAAAGCCCAGAAAGGGTCATATGCCTCATCTGCAGCCACCCAGCTAGAATGCCAGAAAATCACCAGAATGCGAGGCTTCTGCTTTGGATTGCTGTTTTCTACCATCGTACTGCATTACCCTTTTGAGAACAGAATGAATAGCATCAATATAATTTGTTCTTAATATGCTAGCTTTGGGGTGCCTGGGTGGCTCAGTCAGTTAAGTGTCTGACTTTGGCTCAGGTCATGATCTCCCGGTTTGTGGGTTTCAGCCCCACGCCAGGCTTTGTGCTGACAGCTGAGAGCCTGGAGCCTGCTTCAGATTCTGTGTCTCCCTCTCTCTCTGCCCATCCCCCACTCGTGCTCTGTCTCTCTCTGTCTCCTAAAAATAAATAAACATTAAAAAAGAAATCTCTTTTAAAAAAATATGCTGGCTTCTATCTTCACTAGCGCAGCCTAGAGATATATCTTCTATATCACTTAACCAAGCCAAGGAATGTAGAAAAAGTACAGTTCTTGCCCTTAGGAAGTTTACTTTTTAAACTATCTGCAAATGAAAAGACACGAATGCCCAGAATTAAGTCTCCTGACTGTGGCAGTCATGGATTCTTCTCTTCAGGCATCTCCAGAAGTTGTTCTCGTTTTTCAACTGTTTCCATTGGCCACACCATGTGGTTTACCAAGCCAAAAAAAAATCATATGATTTGGTATAAGAAGACTTTATGTGTGTGTGAAAGTCTCTGGATTCATTTCCCAGCATAAATGATCATCTAGTCCAATCTTGCTATTCAGGTAGAGGGGAAATGCAGTACTACAGTCAGACAGGCACTTCCAGAAGATTCCCACACCTCCATGGCCCTGCCTCGCTAGCTCCAATTTTGGAGCCCCAGCGCCTGCCCTGGTTCCTGGGAGCACATATATATCCCAGATATTTTCCCAGTGCTGCTTACTGATAGCATAATAGCACTGCTTCCGCCAAAGGGTCTCCTATGGGAAACTTGTGACTTTCTCAAAGCTGGAGGGTTTTTTCTGGGAGCTGCCTGGTGCACAGATAACTAACGGTGTTAACATGCCCATACGGTGTTAGAGTTCACATTAAAATCCAGTTTTTAAACACATCTTTTAGGGGTGCCTGGGTGGCTTAGTCGGTTAAGCGTCCGACTTTCGCTTAGGTCATGATCTCGCGGTTCGTGGGTTCGAGCCCCACGCCGGGCTCTGTGCTGACTGCCAGCTTGGAGCCTGGAGCCTATTTCAGAGTCTGTGTCTCCCTCTCTCTCTGACCCTCCCCTGCTCATGCTGTCTCTCTCTCTCTCTCTCTCCTAGAAATAAAAAAAAAAAAAACATTAAACACATCTTTTAATGAGAACCCTCCCCCCCCACCTCTTTCCTCTTCTTTCTGCCACCTTCCATACTTACAGGTTTCTTGAGGGAAGGAAGGAGATCTGCTGAAACACCATAAAATGTTCAGAATAGTATCAGTACCCCAGTTTCTCTTCCTGGTGGACACTGGCAGCATGTATAAGAAACCTCCACAAATGAACTGCCCCTCTCCTAATTTCCACCTCAAAAAGTCATTTATCCAAGTGAGCAAGTGATAGAAGTCAGGCTGAATTTAGCCTTTTCGCTTTTCTTTCAGGCCTCGTAGGGGAGATGTAATTGTGCGATGAAAATAACCAGAATTCAAATTGAGAGATAAAGGAAGACAAAGAGGCTGATGGCTCAAAAATTGAATTATCAGTTTCTGAATAAGCTCAAATTCTTTGGTTGCCTTGGCTGGAGAACTGAAGCTTCAAATGTTAAGTGAGCTATAATACTAACAAGAATCAAAAGGAAGAGAGGAGAGAGGAAAGGATAGGAAAAAGAAGAAAATACCTTACAGTTGTAGTTCCAAGAGTTTTCTAGTGCTTCTACATAACGGTACTTTGCTCACTCTCAAAACAATAATTAGAAGTAAAAACAAATCAAATTCTCAATTTTCACAGTGTAGAAACCAACACTTAGAAAGGTCAAGGGAAGGGGCACCTGGGTGGCTTAGTCGGTTAAGAATCCAACTTTCGCTTAGGTCATGATCTCGCAGATCGTGGGTTAGAGCCCCGCGTCGGACTCTGTGCTGACTGCCAGCTCAGAGCCTGGAGCCTATTTCAGAGTCTATGCCTCCCTCTCTCTCTGACCCTCCCCTGCTCACGCTGTCTCCCTCTCTCTCTCTCCTAGAAATAAATAAAAATACTAAAAAAAAAAAAAAAAAAGAAAGGTCAAGGGACTTTCTCTAGGGGCACCTGGGTGGCTCAGTTGGTTAAGCCTTCAGTTGCAACTTCAGCTCAGGTCATGATCTTATGGTTCATCAGTTCAAGCCACATGTCCGTCTCTGCACTCACAGCACTCGGAGATTGCTTCAGATCCTCTCTCTCTCTCTCTCTCTCTTTCTCTCTCTCTCTCTCTATCCCTTCCCCAGCCTGTATTCTCTCTTTCTCTCAAAAATAAACATTTTTTGAAAAATTAAATAAAAAAGAAAGAAAGAAAGGCTAAGGGACTTTCTCCATACCTGGAAGAACCGAGATTAGAACTTGGATGTTAGAACTCGGTCAGCCCTCTTCACACCTAAATACAGTAGAATGGAGGCATTGCCCAAGGGTCACGTGACAGATTGATAGGAAATAGAACTGTTTTCCTTCTGCACTTCCCTTGCTGGTATTTAAATTTGTGAATGCATTATCTGGCCTCCCTCTCAGTCTTGTCATTTGACCATGTTTGATCACATTTATCACACTTCTGCAGAAATAATTCAGGTGCTCTTCGTTTTCAGATTTCATGCATGTTGGAGATATTTCCAAGATGTCACCTGTACAGTACAAGGTCTTTTCACCACGTAGTCTCTTAGATCTGTTCATATTCAGGGCAAGAGTACTGGAAAGCTATTAAGATTATCTTGATATTTATATGTCCTCCTGTCACACTTAATGCCAATCACTCTGGCTTTCAGGTTGTACTAGAATTTTATTTCCACCCTCTTTCAAATAGCATTTGTTGCATTTTTTTTTTTTTTTTTTTTTTTAAAAAGAGCATCCTTGGGGCGCCTGGGTGGCTTAGTCGGTTAAGCATCCAACTTTCGCTTAGGTCATGATCTCGCGGTTCGTGGGTTTGAGCCCCGCGTCGGGCTCTGTGCTGACTGCCAGCTCAGAGCCTGGAGCCTTGAGAGTCTGTGTCTCCCTCTCTCTCTGAACCTCCCCTGCTCACGCTCTCTCTCTCTCTCTCCTAGAAATAAATAAAAATATTTAAAATAAAAAGAGCATCCTATTATTTACCTGCCATCATAAAACTTGTTTTTTCACCTGTGTTCTTATAACTAATCAAGGTAAATGTAAGGTGATTTTATTCCATATAAATCTTAATATTGTTTTACATATATCTGACCACTCGTTTGGAGAGTGTAGCATTTCTCTCTTGTCCTTGAGCCTGAAAGAACTTGTGATGCCTTGTTCTCCCTCACTTTTAAAACAAAGGTTTTATTAAAATTTTCAAAACATGATCCAGCTGGGAGAAGAGAATATAATGGAAACTCATGTACTCATCAGATCTGGTGTTGATTCTTCTATCTTTTTGGCTTTCTCTCTCTTTTTGCTGGAATGTTTTACAACAAATTTCAGACCGTATGTCATTTCATCCTTACGTACTTTGTTGTACCCCGCTTAAAAAATGTGGAATTTGTCAGTAATCACAATGGTACTACTACTCCCCAAAAATTTTAACCACTACTTGACATGGTAGAATAATCATTCCATTTTCACATTTCACGTATTGTTTCAAAAATGGCTTTTTGCAGTGGATTAGTTTAAAATTGGGTCCAGATAACTGGCTAAATAAAAGAGATTATGCAACTAAAAATAAATAAATAAAATAAAGTCGAGTCCAGACAAAGTTCACCCGTTGGCTGTGGTTTTCATATCCTAAATCTCTCCATGGAGAGCAGTGATCTCCCTTTACTTTTTTTTTTTTTTTTTTTGATGCCACTTTAACTTGTTAGAGGTACGGAGTCTGCGTTTCTATAAACGGCCCCACATTCTGAAGTGGCCTCTGTTGCCTGGTGATGTCATTTCACTTATTCACCTACCTGTGCTTCTCCCATATTTTTCTGTAAGCTGGGACCTGCCTCTGAAATCTTGACTCAGTTCAGATTCAGCATCGGGTAAGAGCACATGGTCCTTGTGTTTTCTTGCCCCATAGCAGAAACCCCATAGCATAGGGCTGACACCCTCCCAGTGGTGCCAAGTTGATCAGTGATTCAGGTGGTGACCACCGGGTCCCTGTGGCGCATGCCAGCCTTCCTTTCGGTGTCTTTACCAGTTGCTGATCTTTGCCTGAGCCAGTCCCTTCATTAGGGCTGCAAAGTGGCGATGTTTGTAATCCTGGCATTTTTTTCCATATGTATTTGTTGGAATTCTTGTGTTAGGTACAACTTTCAGGGCATCTGAATGTCTCAGTCGGTTAAGTGTCTGACTATTTATTTATTTAGAGAGTGAGAGCAGGAGAGGGGCATAGAGAGAGGAAAAGAGAGAGAATCCCAATCTGCACTGTTAGTGCAGAGCCCATTGCAGGGCTCAAACTCACAAACCATGAGATCATGACCTGAGCCGAAATCAACAGTTGGATGCTTAAAACATCTGAGCCACCCAGGCGCCCCAAGTGTCTGACTCATGATTTCGGTTCAGGTCGTGGTATCCCAGTTCATGAGATTGAGCCCTGCATCTGCTTGGTATTCTCTCTCTCCTCTCTGTCTGCCCCTCCCCCAGCACATGTTTGTGCTCCCCTACCCCATAAGTAAATATACATTTTAAAAAATCAGAAAGTAGAACTTTCCCTCATTAGCTAGGGCTAATTGGTTACCCTGAGATGCAATTAAAAATATGGGAAAAGCAACATAAATTCTTAATTATTTCTCTTTAATTGCTCATTTTAGAGGAGAGATTCAGTCCCCAGGTTACTTCCAATAAGTGTCTTTTTCTTTTTCTTTTTTTTTTTTTTTGAGCATTACTATGAACTCTTAAGGTTTTCTTAAATAATATATTCAGTCAGTTGCAATAACTTGCCTTTTCTGATGCTAATATTAATCCATCTTTGGCCAGTAAGAGCCCCATCATATTGGCACCCGTGTCTTTTGATACAGCCCCACTTGCTTTGATGGCTTTCTTGCTTTTTTGGCATGGCATGTCTTAAGCCCATCTGTACCTTCCTGTCCCAGTCCTGAGTCAGCCATTTCTTTTAGTGAGAAATAGTACCCAGAGATAACTAGGAAAATATATATGAGTATATTCTTGAAAAGAAAGTGAATCATCAGTTCATATAATAGTTCTAATTCAAATGTAACTTTATAAGGCTTTTACTTTATTTTTGTACTTGATTCTTTTGAGACTGAAAATTTTGGTTCCTAAAACATTAACATATTTGCTTTATCCAATGTTATGTTTTTAAGCTGTTTCAAAGTACGAACAGAAGTATCATAGTAACAAGACTACCGAGTGAGATTTTAGACTTCTTTGCAGGTCTCTTTGTCCTTAGAGTCCATTCCCCCCAAGGATGTACAGTTGAAGTGCTGTGTTTTAAAGTCACTTGAAATAATTCTGTTAACTGTGATGACATCACCAACTTGATAGTTAGGCTCCTTCATTTATACTTTGTCGTCAATGTGGGGGATTTTTTCCTTTAATCTTATGCATATTTTTAATATGTAAAATAATGACATGATTCCAGAATGAAAACTATGATCAGAGAAGACTCACCAACAGCTCTGTCCCCTCAGCTTGTTTCTCCCTGCTCCATAGGCTGTCCTGTGTGTCAGATCTTGACTTTTCCTTCCAGAGCTTCCTTTTGTAAAATAAGTGCGCACACACGCGCGCGCGCACACACACACACACACACTTCTATTTCCCACCCTTTTTTACACAAAGATAGCATAGCTTATAAACTCTTACATACCTTGGCTTCCCCCCACACACACCTAATAATATATCCCAGAAATTACTTCATGTCCGTTTGCTTATGGTATGGAGATCTTTTTTCCCCCAGCTGGATAGGATTCTATTGCATGCATCTGTCATAGTTAGTTCAGTAAATCCCCTTTAGATGGAATTTTTTGTTATTTTCAGACTTAAGCTATTAAAATGACATGGAGTGAATAACCTCAGGTATACATTTTGTACTTCAGCCAGTAGTGTATCTCTGGGATAGATCTCTAGAAGGAGACTTATGAGGCTTTATCAACCGAGGAAGTTCACCAGAGATTCAGTCCCTTAGGTTTTTACTAGAGACTGGTCACGTAGGCAGCCTCATTCTGACATGGACTGAAATTGCAGACTGAAAAGGAAAGCAGGTGCCTGGCAAAGACTGTACCATTTGCACGGTTAAGGCACTGTGAACCACTCTTACCTGTTGATGGGGGAACCTTCCTGAAAGCCAGGCTGCCTGACACCGTGGCACCCTTATGAGCAGCCTTCCAGGGGCTGGCAGTCAGGCCTCTTGCACAGCCCCATTTCAATTGTCATGTCTTCTGGAACTATGTGTTCCTATATTTTGCCCGTTTTCCTGTGAGGTTTGTGGTTCTTTTTATGTTAGAGATTTGGGCCTTTTGTGACATAAGTTGCAAATATTTTTTCCAGTTTGTCTTTTCGCTTTGCTGATGGTATTTGTTTTGTTATTTGTGTTTTTGAGTAGTAAGTAGCTTTTCCCACTCCAAGGTTATAAAGGCGCTCTCCCATCTAGAACTTCTATTTTTCATTTTCTACATTTAGATCCCTAATAAGTTTGCAATTTATCCTGATATGGAATGTGAACTACAGATCCTGTTTTGTTTTCCAAAAGACTCTCCAGTTTATGTCAACACTTTTTTTTAAACCCATCTTTTCCTTATTCATCTGAAGAGCCACGCTTATCAGACATGTACTACATTTCTGTGTGCTTTGGGGTCTGTTTCTAGACTTGCCTTTTTGTTCATGGGTGTTTTTGTCTATTTATGCACCAATTCCACACTTTCACTTAAAGAGACTTTGTAATATGTTCTAATACCTGGTAGGCTGATCTGCCCTATCACATACATATTGCTTTTATTTTAGAATATTCCTGGCATTTCTTGTTTATAATTTTTGTATGAACTTTAACTTCCCTAGTTCTAAGAAAAAAACTTATGTTGATATTTCTAATAGGGATTATATTAAGTTTGTAAATTCACATTGTGAGAAATGACATGTTTATCACGTGAAGCCTTGCTGTCCAGTACTATTGCATGTCTTTCGCTTTGTTGTGCCTGCTTTTGTATCATTCAGCGTGCTGTCCAAGCTTCGTTCATATGGAATTTGCACATTTCTTGATTTCTGGATTTGTTTGGTTATTCATTTATTTTTGTGAATCCCTCCGCTCAATTTCGAGAAATGATCCTTAATGCTTACATGATAGATTTGACGTTGAAACTCGGCATGTGTTTATTGGTGACCAGTCGGGCCAAGTAACCATCCTCAAACTGGAGCAAGACCACTGCACGCTGGTCACAACATTCAGAGGACATACAGGTGGGATTGAAAGCAAATCTGCATGTACTGCTCTCACAGTGACCCATCCCCTGCCGCGCGTTCTGGCGTGCAGATGCGTGTTGTCAGAGTGACAAAGTGTAGCGTGCACAGATACGTGGGATACGTTGAACCTATTTCACAATGGTTCAGTAAGATACAATGTCCAAAATGTTCTACATCAGTGCAAACAAAGGAGGAACGAGTCTACTTCAAAAGTGTTGGTGATTTGGTTCTGTGCCATGTTGCACTGGAGAAAGACAGTGTTGGCATATGCTGATGAGAGCGGGTGACAACGGCCTAAACCTCAGGAAGGCCAAAAAGACGTCTGCCTCAGTCTGCCCTTGCCCTCCTTGGAGCAGGAAGATGGTGTGCAAGACAGACACGCCCACTTCTAAGACCCGTGAAATAAAAAATGTGTTCTTTGCGGCTAGCTAGGCTGCATAAAAAGGTACGGGTTCCTTTTTAACTTTCTTCTGGGCTCTTTTCAGTGTAAACCCAAGGCCCCCTTTATTATTTCGGATTTGTTTGTGGGGGAAGAGATAAGGATCTGTTCAGGATCATTTAAGCAAGGTAATATAAAATATCCATGCTTAGCCGTTGAAAGACTTGAAAAGATGATGATGATTCGTTTTTACTGGTATTTTTAATATGTGATGTTGACCCTGAGGAATGAGTCACTGCCTGTTTTCATGGCTCTTAATGGGCTTTTATGTCTCCCACAGGTTACCAACCCATGATTTAGTACAGAACAGGTTCTCACTGAGTTTAGATAGCATCTAAGAACCCAAGAAGGTGAATGAAGATGTAAAATGGGATAGTACCTAGATCATAAGGAATTTCCTCAAGGGGAAAAAAGGAATGCAGTAAAGAGGAAATTGAATCCAGGGGGAAAGAGTCATAAAAGATAATTATCTATGTTTTCTGGGAAGAAGAACACATAGAAGCATCTGCTGTGGATAGGACCCAGGTCTTTCCTGATTGTGTTTTCTCTTTTTAGTCCCCTCCACCCTAGCTAAGCCTGGCTTGGTAGGGACCCAGAACTGTCCCAAGTCAGGAGCCTTAAACTGCTGCGTTTCAGAGTCTCCTGACTTCAGTCTCCCAATCTTTTGCTTCTCTGAACGCTTCCTCCAGCTCCACTTATTCTTGCCCTTGTTGACCAGTCGGTCCTTGGCTCCTCATTCCCCAGTGTCTGCGCCCCCAGACACTTTCTTCCAGAGTGGGGGTCACTTCAGCCACAAGCCGCCCAGCATTCTCTGGTCAGACGCCCTTGTTTTTCCCTGCAGAACACGTCCGCCATTCACACCCTCTCCAGCCCTCCTGCGCCCTTAGCCACTGGGGCTGCTGCGTGTCACACCCTGAGCCCCGGGCCATCATTCCCACTGCACATTCCGGTCCAGCTGTCAGAGTCACCTCAGTCCCTGCACACAGTCCCTTGCAAGTCCTCAGTGCTCGCCTCCACTTCTCCAGACCTTCACTGCTCTCCCCACCCCGAGTCCCCTCTCCCTCCCCACACTCCTCCTTCAAAGAAGAATAGAGGTTTTATCAAATAGAGGCTTAAAAAAATTTTTTTTTCTTGCCCACCCTATATTCCTCTCCAATAAACTGCCTCTACCTCCTCCTCATCTCTTAACACTCCTTCTGATTGCCCTCAGGGTCTCCACATCAAACCTATTCCCTGCGTCTCCCTTTTGACTAGCTCACTCCTCTCAATTTATTAACATGTTTGAATGGTTTGCCTTTCTGTTGAACAAACAAAACCCTCCCAATCCCGTATCCTCTTGTAGCAATGTGCATCGTATTCTCTTGACAGCAGTGCTTCTTTTTCCTTTTTTTAAGTTCCGGTAAACTGTACGTAATCTAAAATTTACCATTTTAATCACTCTTAAGCCTACAGCTCAGTGACATTGAGGACATTCATATCACCACCATCCATCCACACAACATTCTCTGTCTTGTAAAACTGAAACTCTGACCCCATTGACCGGGAAGCCATCATCGCCCCTCCCCCAGCCCCTGGCAGCCACCATGGCGCTTTCTGTCTCTGAGTTTGCCTGCTCTGGTGCCTCACACAGTGGACTCAGTACCACAGGCGTTGTTGTAGGACTGGCTTCTTTCACTTAGCATAATGTCTTTCTGTTGTGGCAGACAGCAGGGTTTCTTAAAAGAATATCATTTTCCGTCTGCTCAAATTCTTCACCCCTCGTTTGCCGTCCACCCACCTGCCGTTTGGCTCGTCTCTCACTCCCCTGACACCCCTGTCCCCGTGGTGGCCGGTGGCACCGGCAGCAACACTGCTGGTTGCTAAATCCAGTGGACACGTTGTAAACCATGTTGTAAACCGACTGAACCTGTCGGCGGCATTTTACGTTGTGGCCGTTCCTTCTTACCTGTAGCAGCCGTCCTTTGGCTGTGTGTGTGTGACACGTTCTCCCCGGTTTTCTTCTGCTTCTCTGACTCGTCTTTCTCGTCTCCTTAGTGGACTTTTTTCGTGAGTTCTGCCCTGGACCCTGGTCTCTTTACACTCGGTGCTGTCCCTGCTAGATCTCAGCCACTACCCCCTGCCATAGACATAAAAGGTACAGTCCTTTCCTCACGTTTTTTACACAGTGAGAGAGACGGGCACTAAACAGTGATTACAGTGCTTGGGGGCAGGGACAGGGGGAAGCAGGCACTGGGCACGTCCAAGAACACAGAATGGGCACTTCGCTGGGTCAGGAGTGGGAGTCTGTCAGGAAGGCCTGAGGTGCCGCTTGACCTAATATTTTGGGGAAGGAATCAGTGTTGAGTTCATGAAAAAGCACTGAGACGGACACTGTAGGCAGAGAAAACCAGCGTAGTCATGGCATGGAGATTTGCGAGAGCTCCGGCTGGCGGGCACACCGAGCACGAGAGGGCAGGCAGCCAGAACGGAAGCGAGAGTCCGTTCGGATCACTGAGGCATTAGCCCGACGGCAGTGAGAAGCCATAAGAGAGTTTTAAGCAAGGACCTTAGCCTGGTCAGAATTTAAAAGATTCTTCTGGCGGCAGAGTCGTAGGAAACTGTCCCTCACAATGTGGCAGGAGAAACCGGAAAGCCAAGAGTGAATGGGCCTGAGGTGACATTCAGGTGGTGAGCCCAGCAGGCCCGGTGACCACACTGGGTGGCTCCGAGACTTGGCTTCGGCACAGGTGGCTTGCAGCCTGGCTCTCTGGTACACAGCTATTCTCCAAACGGCTGATGGCTTGTGTTTGGAGTTCTCCGTTGCTGCCGCCAGGCCAGAAAAGGGGTGAGTAGCTGCTGCTTCCTGGTGTGTGGTGAGCCAGATGTGGCTCAGGGGTTTCCTGTCTTCTGGGTTAGCTCTAATATAAAATGCTCCCTTGGCATGGTGCCTTAGCTTTCTCAAAGAACTTAAAGCGTTCTCATATGGCTTTACTATGAAATATCTTTGAGGGCCGGATGTGGCCCAGGAAAGTCACTAACTAACATGAAAGGCAAATGAAGCAGGTCACGTATTCAACTTATTGGTACTGTCCCTAGACAGTAGGACGTACCCATCGCCAGTCAGGCACGTCTCATTCGTTTGTAGCCAGAGCAGAATGTCTGAGAGATTCCATGATGATGCAAACGTATTGTCGAGCTCTTCCCTTGCAGTAGGCCCGTTCTGGGGCCTGGGAAGTCCCAAACTCAGCCAGACACGACTCTGGAAAAAGGAGTTTTGTAAGGATTAGTTAATCTCCTCATTCCCTCACCACCAAACAAAGACCTTAGGATTAAGCCAGACCATTAAAGAATGGTCTCAGGAGTCTTATCAGTCCAGATCCAAACTCAGAAGCAGACGGTCTTTGTGTACAGAGCCATAGCCATTCACCCGTCAGCGTGTGTTCTAGTACGGAAAGTCATGTAAAAATGCTGGTTAGTGACGGAGCTGGTCTAGTCATCACACTCGGAGGCCAGCATAGCATTAACTAATCCGTGGGGACCTAGGAAACCAGTTTTATGTTCCTTTGCTCCCTCTGCTGGTTTTATTTCTGGAACTAAATGCCAAGTATCATAGTTCTTTGCTGTTTCTGCAGAACTTAGAATGTATGTCTACCAAAAAGTCATACACCAACTTGAACACAGAGGGGGAAAATGAGATTTTAACCACTGGGAATTCATAGTATCAATAAATTTATTTTTTTCTTCTCCCTCTAAGAATTATTATGGTTAGGATGAACATATTGGAAATAGGAGGGGCCGAAGATAAATTGCCAACGCACACTATTTAACAAAAAATTAAATACATTGAATAAATAAATTTGTTAACTGTTAGGGGAATGGTTGAAAGTAACAGTGTAAGTCTAACGAAAATAAGTAAACCATGGAGAGGCATGGTTCAGTACAAACATGCAAGTTCAGATCATTAAGTTGAAAACTTGATTTTTGTTTACAGTGAAGATTTCCACATCCAGTAGACACAGATTTTCATCGAGTCAGCCGAGTCATTAGCTCTCTGCATGATGAGTGCTGGGGTGTAGGGGTGAGTCAGACAAAGAGTGCTTGCCTATTCAATTTCCAGTCCTGGACCATAATCACTAAACCAGTAAATTCAGGTAGTTCATCAAAATGTTATGAGTGCAGCAAGTACTGTGAAGCCCCAGTACTGCTCACAGCACTGGAATTTGGGAGAAAATAACAAAAGGGACTCCCTATCCAGAGAGCTAAGGGGAGACCTCTGAGGAAGTCGTGTTTAGAGGATACCTTAGGGATACGCCTGGGCTCAGTCATTAGGCATCTGACTCTGGCTCAGGTCATGATTTCCCAGTTCATGATCTAAGGCCCACCTTGGGTAAGATTGAACCCCACTTTGAGTAAAACATGAGGCCTGGGTGAGCCCCACAATATCCCTCTCTCTTTCTCTCTCTCTCTCCCCCCTCCCTCTCTCTCTTTCTCTGCCCCTTGCTCACTTAAACTCTCTCTCAAAAATAAAAAATAAAAAAAAATGAATAAATAAAATAAAAATTTTTTAAATGAATAAACGATACCATAAGGAGAAAGAGTTGTCACCCAGGTGGTGAGACCATTCTAGACTCTAGGTGTGTGAAGTACATACAAAGCCTAGGGAGGGAAAGCACGAACAACTACAGAGTCCCATGGGCAGTGTGGACAGCCAGGGGCGAAGAGTACAGATTGAATTTGCAGGCGATATTAACAACTTTGGACATTGTTCTCAGGCAGTGGGAGACCAGGGATGAAGGAAGCAGGGTGGTGGCCTGGTTTCCATTTTCACAAATCGCTGTGGCAGCGGTGGGCGGTGGGCTGAGTGGGAATGAGAATGGATGTGCCGAAGCCATTTGGAAGGAAGGCTACGACTGGAGTCCCACTTGCTTGGACTGGGGCGGGGGGGAGGGGGGAGAAGAGGAGGCATTCAAGATCTTTTTAGGAGATTAGGAGTCCAACGCTCAGCATTCAGGGTGGGAGTGGCTCCCAGGTTCCCATCTGGAGCATTTGGGTGGATAGTGATGCCACTGACGAACCAGGAGCACTAGAGTTTAGAGCAGTTTGAGGAGAGAGCACCGTGCTTGGAGCTGAACATCCTTCCGTCTTTTCCACTCTTACTGAAGGGTGTGGGATACTCTGGTGACAGGGACGCCCCTGCCGTGGTGGCAAGGGGACAGCTGGATGTCCCGTGGTGGGTCTCAGGAGGAAAGCTTAGCCTGGAGGTGGAGCACATTCAGCTTTGCAGAAACATCACTTCAGCCCGCAGTAAATGCAAAATACAGTAACTGAAAGGTCAGAGATGTTTTTCAAGAGGCCTTGCGGCTGGGAACTCACTTAGGTGGCTCTTGTGTGTCACAGGTAGGCTGCACCCCTTCCTCACCCTGCAGGGGGTGCTGGAACGTTCCAGATGAAGTGCCGTATTGCAATGGTAGAGACCCGGCAGTTTCCAACCCTGACTTCGCAACACACCGCGTAGTCTCTAGCTTTTGTGAGATAGGTTGTAAAAAGCCTCTTAGAAATTAGTTCGCTGTGCATTTTGGTAACATGTAGTAAGTTTCTAAAAATGTTGATACTCTTTGATCCAGTTTCATGTTTGGGAATCTCTTCTAACTAAATAGAAACATGAACAAAGTTTTACAAATAAAAATTTTCAGCTTAGCGAAATTTAAAATAGTTAAAAGTTGAGCAACACGTAACAGTGAGTGAAATAAGGTACATCCATGTGTTGGGGTGTTAGGCAACCATTAAAATCTATGTTTATAATGACAAAAAAAACTTTATTTTTGAGAATAAATTCATATATTCACATACTGTGAAGGTCAAAGGCAGGGAGAAGCACACCATGAGATGAGGGGAGTGGGAAGATGGAGGAATCTGAAAGGAGGCCAGATGAAATGGAAGAAATGATGTTTGTCTTTTTGAATATGGAAACCCATAATTGCTGTGGCCCCTGGACCTCGGACCCCATCCTAGATGTAGAGGGTGAGGAGGAGTCCCTGGGTGTGGACTGCACAGAGGTGAGTACACTGCTCTGGAAGGCAGGCTGGCTGACGGTGGTTGCCTTTCTGCCCCGCTGAAAGCATCTGGAGGAAAGACTGTTCATCAGGAAGCTGTCTGCTGAGGGACACTCGCCTGGGAAGGAAGAGGCCATTCGGTCAGCGGCTCTCCTCTCCACCGTACTGTGCCCCCTGCGACTTAGTGTCCTGCCTTCCCAACTGCCCCCACCTCAAAGCTCTGCGGGACGCCTCTATAGTGATGGCTTATTGGGTTTCTTCATTGTCTCTCATTCCCCTCTGCCATCCAGTTCAACTGGCTGGGTGCTTACACATTTATTAAGCACCTACTGTGTACCAGGCACTGGGCACTGTGCTTGAATACAAAGATACAGAACCTAGAATTTACTGTGGGGACAGATTTATATAATCTGACAAGGTTCAGTGCAGTGGGTGAGTATAGGGAGAGAAGCCACACCCAGAGGTAAGGACCTCACTTAGATCGAGAGCACTGGGGAAGGCTTCCTGCAGAAGTGGACCTGAGCTGCACCTTGAAGAGAGAGAAGGTTACTTGGGTGATAAAAGGTCTGGTATGAGAGAATGGTTTCACCAAACAAAGCATGCATGCCCTTCTTCTCAAAATTGATCCTGTCATCTTATGCTGTGTTTGTGTTGGTCTAGTGGGGTCTGAGTCTTACTCGATTTGATTATATCCTCAGAGCCCAGCGTGGTATCTGCCATGTAGAAGATGCTCAGTAGATTCTGGTTGCATTGGTTTGAAGTGAGTGCCGTGGTTTACAATTTATAAGCCGACCTCCAGGAGACCCCATTGTTAGGACATGTACCTAGACCTGGGAGGGACCTCAAAAATTATTTGTTTTTCTCCCCAGCCCCATCCTACTTCCTGTCTTAAAGCTTTTTTCTTCTATCTTTTCCACTCTCTGAAGGGTGGTGTGATACTCTGAGCCCTGGAAGGTGATGAATATACCCTGGCTTTGACTTTCTTGAACCTGGTATCAATTTTCCTCTTCCTGACCCTGTGTTACCAGGAACTCCCCTTCCAAGCTCTGGCGCCTTACAGCCTGATGTAATGTGGGAAAACTAGAGACTGGTCTTGTTTTTAAAACTTGAATCAATGATCTCCTGATGGCCGGGATAGTATGGGAACAAGCTGATGACTGCCACAAGGCTGGCTGAGCAGCAGACACTGTCACGGATGGTGTAGACAGGGTCTCCTGCACTATAATCATAGCTTCCATTTCCTCAGAGCTCCCCATGGGCTAGGCGCTATTCTGTATGTTTATGTATATATTAACTCATTTCATCTCAACAAAATTATTGTCATCCTGTTGTACAGATGAGATTTCTGAGCACAAAGACATTAAATAATTTGCCCCAAGTCACTTACCTAATAAGAGTGGAACCTAGGATCTGGCTCCAGAGCCTGTGCACTTAAAATAACCACATCTAAACTTCCCATTTCGTCGCCATAAACCATCCTCATCCCACAGCCACCAGCAAAGAAGGCCTGCTTCTCATGGTGCAGTGCTTGGAGATGTGGCTTTGCATGGTGGGGGGTTGTGAGGGGCCCATCACTTGGCATGTGGTGAGCCTTATTTGAGAATTTCCATGTTTATTCTGACTGGATGAACAGCCCACCCAATTACGTCTTTAATTATGTCAAATAATCCTTTCTAACTGTTCTTTTTACTGGTGCTCACCATTATTTAAATCTGACATGATGCTTCAAAGAACCTACCCACATAATGTATTGTCTTAGTCTTTTCAGGCTGCCATAACAGACTATCATAGACTGGGTGTGTTAGAAACAACAGATATTTATTTGTCACAGTTCTGGGGGCTGTGAAGCCCAAGATCAAGACACTGGCAGATTGAATGTCTAGTGAGACCACTTCCTGGTTTATAGACGGCTACTTTTTCACAAGCTCACGTGACAGAAGGGACTGAGGAGCACTTTCATAAGGGCACCCATCCCAGTCATGGGGGCTGCACCCTTTTGACTTAATCACCTCAGAATATGGAGGATTAGGTTACAACATAGGAAATCTGAGGACACACAAATGCGTACTGAGTAGAGGAAAACATACATCAGTCATCTTTCTCTTTTCTGTCCCCCTAATCCCAGTGGCTTAACCAGTCAAGTAAGACCATCTCCAGAGCATCCCCTTGAGATGAGCATTCACTGACCTAAAAGGTCTGAGGAGTAGAATAGATCAAGGCTGTCACACAAACAACATTGGTCAGCTGGGAACAGAGATGCTACGCACCTGTTCCACGTTCTAGGAACAAGGCAAAGAACATTCAGGTACTTACTTCATTCAATCATTTGCTCACTTGTGTGTTTATTTGAGTGCTTCCTGTAAGCTGAACAGAATTCTAGATCCTGGAGACACTGTGACGAACAAGCCAAAACCATGGCCCTCCAAGAGCTTATATTCTGTGGGGGCAGTAGACGAGAAGTACATGTTCTGAAGAAAAAACCATAAAGAGGAGAATGGTAAGAGTGGCCAAGGAAGGTCTCTCTAAAGAGGTGGCGTCCGACCAGGGATCTTTGCGAAGCGAAGGCGTGCGCCCGTGCTGATCTGGGGGAAGAGAACCACAGGCAGAGGCAGCAGAGTGCAAAGGGCTGGACTTGGGGGTGAACCCGGCACGGTGAAGGGGCGCCCCACGTGACTAACGCAGAGCAGGTAGGGGGGCCTCGCAGTGGGGGCAGAAGCTAGATGGCGAAGCGTCTTGAAAGGCCGTGGAGAGGACTTTGCATTTTACTCTGAACGGGATGGGGAACCATTGGAGTGATTAGAACAACAGGTGTCCTCATCGGCTTTGTGTTTCTTCGGTGACCACTTCAGCTGCTGCGTGGAGAGCAGCCTACAGGAACGGGTAGAAGCGGCGAACCTGTGTAGGAGGCCGTTCACATAGTCTTACGGTTTGGGGCTTTTTTATTTTATTTTATTTTAACCTTTCATCTTGAAATCATTTCAGACTTTAAAGAAGTTGCAGAATAGTGTAGAGAGTTCTGTACCTCCTTCACCCAGATTCCCCAGATGTTAACATCTTTGAAAACTATGGCACAGATATCAAAATCAAGAAGTTAATGTTGACAGAGTACCGTCGCCTAATCTACAGACCTTACCCACATCCCACTAATAGCCTTTTCCTGGTTCACAGCCCGATCAGGACCGCACGTTACGTTTGCTTATAATGCCTCCTTAGCTTCCTTTAAGGTAGAACAGCTCTGCAGTCTTCCTTTTTCTGTCATGACCTTGGCATTTTTGAGGTCATTCTTGGCATTCTAGTCAGAATGTCCTTCCCTTGTAGAATGTCCTTCCATTTGATGTTTCCTCGTGGTTAAATTCAGGTCACGCATTTTTTACAAGAATACAATGGAAGTGACGTTATGTCCTTCACAGTGGATCGTATCAAGAGGCGCATGATGTTGATTTGTCCTCTTTCTGATGATGTTAACTTTGATCATTTGGTTAAGGTCGTGTCTGCCACGTTTCTCCACCATAGTCACCCTTTGTAATTTGTAAGTATTTTATGAGGAAATATTTCAAAACTATGTAAATACTACTTCTCATCACATTTCTGCCCAGGAATTTTACTATCCATTGATGACTTACGAGAAACAGTCATGACTGTGGTTCTTGCCAGATTGTGCTTTTTCTAGTCATTTTCTCTTCCACACTTTTTGGTTGGAATTTTATGATAAGGAAAGGCTTTCATTTCTTCCCCATTTATTTATTTTTTAAATTGTTTATACCGGTGTGGGCTCACGAGTTCTTAATTATTTCTATGCATGAGGATTCTTTACTACAATTGATTTATTTTCTTGCTCACATTGTCCTAGATTTGACCTTTGGGACACTATTTTCACAAGGGCTCTGTGACCTGTCCCTTCACTTTTTGATAACCACATCTTACTTTTTGATACCACATGATATTCCTAGCTCATCTTGTATACTACCTGCCTCAGCCCTAGAATTAACATTCCGACAGCCCTCGTTTCTTTATTTGAAGAATAGGTAGTATGAGGGGATATTTCTAGAAGCCAAGATCTGGGTGTTGTGTGTGCTCACTGTTAATGGCAGGGGGGTGGGATCATTTGGGCCCTCAGTAGACAGAGCTAGAAAACGTTTGTGCACTCACACATCTGGAAGGATTTCTGTGATTTCATACTGATACTTCCAATTCCAATCTGACAACCAAAGAGTTTATTCTAACCTCCCCCCAACTGTAACTCCTGTTATGAGTGAAAAAAGCTCAGCTCTCAGTATCCTCAATATATTTACTTGTTCAATCCTAAAATACAGAATAGCTTCAGAAAGAAGAGGTTCAGGTTATTGCTAACCTATAACACATACACAAACTACTAACTAAAGTACTGTATTTGTGTACAAATCTTATATTTTTCCTTCCATTGTGTAGTCAAATTACCGGTTTCCAAAGTTACTTTTGTCAGCTCTCCCGCTCCCGCCTTTAGTGTGGTTATTGTATCATTCATTTGTAATATAGTTAGGTTCACTTGTTTCTATTTCCTTTTGGGTCCATACCCTGCCCTTGCCAGTACACGCCTTGTTAATTTTGTTTACTTACATTTGATTCTGTGAAACAATATGATCCCAAAACCCAGAACCAAACAAAAAATACACTCAGAAAAGTGCCACTCTGCTTCATCCCTTCTCCACTGCGGGGCCCAAGCATCTGCTAACGTTAACAAATCTCGTTCATTTATTTACCCTTTTTTCTTAGACAAAAGGTAGCACAGTATAGCTATTCTTTTGCACTTTGCCTTTTTCACTTTACAGTGTATCCTGGAAATCACTTTCTATCCACCTAAATGGTCTTGTTCATTCTTTCTCATGGCTGCATAATACTGTGTGGGTGTACCATAGTTAATTCACCCACTGTCTTATATGAGCATTCTCCTTGTGCATATGTATCTATGTATTACTTGGTGGGGAAGGGGGCAATATCTTCAAGATAAATTCCTGAGAGTGAGATTCAAAGCCAAGTGCAGGTATGGTTTGTTGGCTATGGCCTTCCCCATTACACCGGTTTGCATTCTCAGTAGTGATGTAAGAGACTGCCTTTTCCCCATAGGCTTTCCAACAAAATATGTGTCATGCTTTATAATTTTCTAGGAAAGAATTTTGACAGTGGCTCATGCAAGGATGGTCATATTAAAGGTGGTAAGAAGTGCTTAGACTTTAGATATATTTTGGAAAAAACCAATTCAGCATTTATAATGGATTGCTTTGGAGGCTGATGGAATGGTTCCCCAGCTGAGGTCCTCTCCAATTCTGTTGAAACATTAAGCATCAAAATTAACAGCCAAATATAGTAACTTCTTTTTACTCGCCTGATTTATGAAGCTTTCGGTGACTGTCACCTTCTTCTTGGGCCAGCTTTATTATATATCCCAGTAAGTATATAGCGTTCTGATACCTAATGCTGGGCACCGGGTAGCTCAGTTGGTTGAGCGTCTGACTCTTGATCTTAGCTCAGGTCTTGATCTCAGGGTCATTAGTTCAAGTCCTTACATTGGGCCATGTGCTAGGTTTGAAGCCTACTTTAAAAAAAAAAAAAAAAGCTAATGCTAACTGCTCTAACAAATAATTTCTAACATTCTAGTGGCTTCATGTAGCAGGTGTTTATTTCTCACTCATGTAACAACTCAGCGTGGGTGTTTTTGACTTACGACTCTCTTCCATGTGGTGATTCAGGGACTCTGGCTCCTTCTTGAATGTAGTTTCTCCATGCCGTGCAGTCTTGGAGATCTCAGTGAGGAAGTACAAAGAGAAAGTGAAAAGGGGACTGCTCTGGTCTGGAAGGAATGCAGGTTACTTTCTGGATTCAGTTGCTGAGAACTGGTCACATGCTCCCTAGATGCAAGAGGGCCCCATAAATGCGGTCCCTGCAGGGTAGCAGCTTTCCAGGGAGCACTCCATATATGGAAGGAGAAATACGGATTTAGGTGGACAGTTAGCCAAGTCTGCCACAGATATTTAATAAAGTAAGCCATTTGGGTACCATGTGGCAATAAATAACATGTTTTGCAGGATGGAATATCCTGAAAATACTGAAGGATGGTTAAAAAAAAAAAGTACAGTGTAGTCCCCCCAGTATACAGGGGACAGGCTCCAAGGCCCCCCAGTGGATGCCTGAAACTACAGATATTACTGAACCTAGATATGCCATGTTTACATATACTGTAATAAAAGTTATGCGAAGGTGGCCTACCTCTCAAAACATCTTACTGTACTGGGCTCTCCCTTCTTCCTGTGACGATGTGAGATGATCAAATGCCTATGCAATGAGATCAAGTGAGGCTGATGACGTAGGCATTATGATGTAGTGTTAGGTTACCGCTCACCATCTGAGGGCCCCGCAGAAGAAGGATCATCTGCTTCCGGACCACACTTGTCCAGGGGCCCCTGAAACCCCAGGAAGCAAAACCATGGACAAGGAGGGACTGCTGTAAGCATGGAGCTCAACAGCAGGAAACCAAGAGGAGTTATATAAAAGGAGGAACAATATTTAATTTTGAAGGGTTAGCAAGTCTGGTGGAGGAATTTCAAGTAACAAGAACTGTGGATGAAAAAAGATTTATGTATTTTCATTCATCTGCTCCTTCATTCATTCAAGAGACAACACGAGGGCCTGTCTGCTCCGAGCTGTAACGTGGTGCTGGGGGAGCAGATGGGAGTGCCAGGGGTGTGCTGCAGGTACGCTGGCGCGGAGTGATGTTTGTGCCTCTGTGGGCAGGGATACGCACCAGCAGAATGTGACGCAGGTATGGGGAGAGGCTCTTAAGCAGAAGCCAGAATAGTGAGATTTTTTCCCCCCTTTTGATCTTGGGGAGGAAAAAAAAAAACCCTTCTGAGAAGATTACGTGAAAGAAACTTTCCTAAAAGCTTTTAGAGCGCAGCACTTTGTTAGAACAAATTGATAATCTAAATAAGAAAAACGTCAGATTGTAATAAACAGGATGCTATTTTTTGTTCTTTTCAGAATACAGTATTTTTCAGTAATGTAAAAAAAAATGGGTATTTCTCACATTCTTAAGTGTTTGGGGCTTTGTCTGCATCTCCTATGGAAAAAGTTTTAATATTGTTCTCATCATGCGGAAGTTTGTTTATAAGGGGACAGCCCGAGAAAGATCTGTCATAATATTTCATTGCCACACCAGTAGAGTAATGCTAATAGCCAGCATATGTGTACTGCACGCTACAGTTTACAGAGGAGTCCTATATAATTGATCCAGAAGTAATTATCACCACAACCTATGAAGTAGGAAATGGCTAGGTTGCTTTTATCATTAGTAATAGTAGTAGTTGCATGCAGATGTTCAGATGTTTCGCCATTATTCCCATTTTACAGTTGAGGAAATCGATACCTAAGGATGTACATGATGTGCCCAGAATCTGTACATTTAAATTCTCAAAGAAAACAAATTTCAAATTGTGATGTTGTAGTCTAATTATATCTGTGCTCAAGAATAAAGAATCCAACTAAGCTAGTGAAAATTCCATTTACTTCTCATCTGTTATTGTCCGGGTGGGAGGTAGACAGAAGTTAAGAAAGTATGGTTAATATTTCCAAGTACTGTGATATTTTCCATTCTTCGAATTATGCCTCCTGTCTGTCAATTAATTGCCTTTTTCATCTTCTTTGGTTTTTATAGTAATTGATTTTATGGTACGTTAACTTTTGGGGAAAAAATGCTGAAAGGGCGGGACTTTTATTCTGGGAGTCCGTTTTGGGCTTTTTTTCCCTCTTCAGGGACTTGTTTGTTTTCTGAGCAAAAGATCCACACCAGATCCTAAGGCCTTTGCATTCACATTTATTGGTGAACGATATTGTCTCTTTGTGACGAATGTCCTGCTCTGTTTTCTCAGGTGGGGTGACTGCTCTCTGTTGGGACCCCGTCCAGCGAGTGTTGTTCTCTGGCAGCTCCGATCACTCAGTTATCATGTGGGACATCGGCGGGAGGAAAGGCACAGCCATCGAGCTCCAAGGACACAAGTAAGACGCTGGTGCTTTTACTAAAACTCTGAGAAAAGCTTCCCTGCTGAAAGCGAGAGCAAAGGCGTGTGCACCGTTCTCTACAGCGGGATCTTCGCAGGGGAAGGAACCCAGTGGGAACGCAAATAATGGCCACTTTGAATTAAATCTGTACCTAAGTATGTTTATTTATTTTTACATCATTTTATTTAATGCCTTAGAGGATTTCACAGTGCCTACAGAAACCATAAAATAAAATAACGGCACCAAACAAATAAAAGGTAAAACTGAGAACCAGGGAGACTCACAAGTAAAACTTTGAGAGTGAGAGGGGGAAAAAGATTAAAAATAGAAACCATGGAGGCCTACAGGATTTCTGTAATTGAGTTCAAATGTGGTGCCAAGATTCCTGGCAGCTTGAGGAAAGGGGGAGAGATAGTGTCCTTACCCAGTATATTTTGTTCTTCACCAAATGTTTATTGAGGACTCGCTTGGATTCGTATCAGGGTGTCTTCTTCCTTGAGGGACGATTTCACGGAGTTGAGAAGAAGAGCAGAGACAGCTTTGCGTTTCCTTGGAGCGGTTCGCAAACGTTGCCGTGTGCAGAGTCACTAAGGAATTGTTCTTAATGTAGATTCCCGGCCCCTGTCTTTGGAGGGTCCGGTCGCCAGTGTGGAGCTGAGACACCTGTGTCCCAAGCCTCCCAGGCAGCTCTCCCGCTGGCCTCAGACCACACTGTGCTGTGCCCTTCCCCAGCCCGCCCATAGGTCCCAGGGACAAGCACCGGCCGTGTGCAGAACAGAACCAGAGATCTGCTCTAGAGCTCTGAGCATCTCTGAACTGGTTTTAACTTGGAAACTTCCCACAGTGATGTTAGCAGCGACTCTAGACATCCATAAACCAATGTTAGTTACGCTCCCAGGGACTGACTGGTACTAACCAATGTTAGCTCTTTTTGTAAATCTGCCCAGAAGCACTAGTTTTAAAATATTCTCCTAAGTAGTCAAGTGTTGCAGTTGGGATTATTAGATATGAACTGATTCCATTTTGGAGGGCCTGTGCACAAATCATGATGTCAGTGTTCGAATTTAGTCTTAGAGAACTAATACTTATTAGGCCTTCTTTCCCACATGAGAGAATAGACCCGTTGTCTGGGGCCGTGTCTGGCTTGTGGGGCCACTTGGAGCTCGTCATCACCTCATTAGAGGAATCATTCCCTTGTACTTACCTCCATGGCAAGGGGACATGCATCAGTATCCTATAAAAGGAGTTGACATCTTCCACGTAAGTGAAGAAAAAGAGAAGACAAACACAGTCCTGTTTAATAATACTCGGTTACTACCCAATCTGCCAAGTAATTCCCGCTACCTCAGGCTGTCTCAGAGAAATAAAATGCCAGTTTTGAATGAAGATCAGTAAGATTTGTTGGACTCATCCAAATTAGCTCATAACTAGTTTTACTTTTGCACAGTGGTTAATAAAAACTGCAGGCAACCTCGCATGACCCATCCTCAGGGTGGTAAAGTGTAACAGTGCTCAACACCAGCACCGCTGTGTGCCGAGTGTCCTCATGCAGACTGTTATTCCGGGAAACTTGCGCCTAGAGTTTGGTAAGAAAGGAGAAGCTATAAAGTTGAGATATAGTCTCTCAGTCCATGAAAAGTGGAACCTGAACTCATAGGTCTTCCAGTTTCTAAGGAATACAGACCTGACCTTTTAGAAAATGGAACAGACCATCCATGGGAGTCCATCCGGATAATCTTTGCCCCTAGTGGGCCGGCAGGCTGGTGAGATCAGGAGCCACTGGCTAGAACCTTTAAGCAGGAATAATGGCAGTAGGCCTTTGCCTGGGGCTTTATTCAACTCAGACTGAGGAAGGAATAACATGAACTCTGAGGCTCCTCATCACCCATCACCGGACCCTGGCCTGGGAGGGGCTGCCTGGTGCCACATGGCTGGGAGAAATGAACTTCTCAGCATCGATCGGTTGGTGTTACCCCCATTAGAGTGGGCTTGAGTGCCCAAGGTGAGGACCGAGAAGACACTGGAGTTGCTGAAGGTAGGAGGCTGGGATTCAGAGAAGGCGGCGGAAGGAAAGGGGCCAGGGCAGCAGGCAGGGAGGAGAACCATAGGGCCACTTTCAGAGCCACCATTGCTTTGCCCTGAAAACTGGCCACTGGATTCGTGTTCAGTGATTCTTGTCTTTGAATGGAGCTTAGTATTTTGTCAGAGAGCTTCTGAGACACACAAGGACCACAGTGTAATCCTACAAGAATCTTGGATACATAAAAGGGAGCCAGTTGTCATTTTTTAGATGAGAATATTGAGCTGCCATCCTCTGAGCCGCCAGCTGGTAGCTTAGGTCTCTCAAACAGAGAAAGCTACTTAGAGCCTTCTTGGTATCCTGCACTGTACTGGGTACTAGGGGCACAAAAATGAGGATTGACTAACTGATGGTCCCTTCTGTGCTCCATGATGGGGTTTTTTGGGTTTTTTTTTTTGTCTCTGTTCTACTCCAGAGGCCAAAGAGTTTCTTCATGGGGCCCGAGGCTGCCCCTAGCTGTCCTACAATTCTTCATGTTCCCACCTTCCCCTCAGGGTGACTCTGGGTGGTCAGAGTTCCAAATCAGGCACCGAATTGGTGAAAGTGGGAGCTCGGCAGAGCCCACCAGACCAGAGAGCCCCAGAGGAGTGGGAAGACCACCTTCCCCTCTCATGGAAATATCCGACCCCCGTGTGGAGGGGCAGCTGTCCTGGGCTCTGTGGCTTCATTCATCCTTTAGCGGAAATAGGACGTTTTTGCAACTAATTTGATCTGGTGTGTAAAAACCTCATCAAAGCAGAGAGAGCTTTAGTACTAGTTTCCAAGTCCGAGGAAACAAGCTAAGAAAGTATACTTCTATATACAATATTCTCTGCATTTGAAACATTTTGATGTTTTTATTCCCTGCAGCAAGTGGACCATGATTATTGCTAGCTCTGTGGAAGGAAAGGCAGAAAAAAGGTTCCAGGTCCAGGGACCAGTTAGGTTTCCGAAGTATCCATTACCAGTTGGATGGATGTCATAGGAGCATAAACCTGGACATTTATTGTCCCATGCCCACCGTGTCAAATTTGATAATGATACTTGGGCTTTTTAGATCCTTTTTTATTCTTAGATAATACCTATCGCTTCATGACCGACTTTATGACCATAGTTTTCCTTTCTAGCAGTATTTTTCTCAGGCTTCTAAGACTTTGTGGCAATTTAGTTTAATGGTGACTCGATTTCAAGCACAGGTGAAGGTCTGTGTGGCTTCCTGGCATGGGACCTTCCACCAGGACTGGATCTGCAAGTTATGGGGGACGTGGTCACGGCCCCAACTGTCGGCACACGTGGCCTGCATATTTGCTTTCTTTTTCCATAGTCCCATCTCTTGGTTTCTCTCTTCTGACTCTTAGCATGTGTAAGACTTTTGTTACAAGCATCTTCAGAGCCTTTTGGTAAAGAAAGGGGCTATTCGTAAATCAGTACGCATCAGGAGAACTTGTTCCTTTCCCTCTTTATCAGGTAAATTGCGTGTCAAGTTAGGAAAGGAAGTGGAGTTCTCACATTCATCCTCTTCTGGGTTTGGGGAAGGAGAGCAAGGGTCAAGAGAGCAAACTTTCTCTCTCTCTGCAAATCTCAGATTTAGGATCATTTCTCACTGCAGCACTAGGGGGTTAATAGGATACAAGGGAAGAGATGTCTTTTCTATCACTCATTTAGCTAAATACATAATAGATCAAAGAATTCAAAATCGGGGTTTTCACAGAGGGTGGAATCTTATTAACGGGTGGGGAGTGGTGCTCCATGGTGTGGCCAATTAATTGCTGGCCTCTGAGTCAGGCCAGGCCGTATTTGAGCCTGCCCTTCTGGCTCTAAGTAGGGCTCTCTATCTTTCTGATCCTCAGTTTCCTCATCTCTAAAGTAAGGATAATATTGGAAAGAAAAACCCTCAAAGGTTGTCAAAAACCATAAATGATACAATGCATGTAAAATAATCAGCACAAGAGCAAGGGACAGTAAGTGCCAGGTGTTAAGATTATTCTTGCTAATGAAAAATTACAGTAATTTATAAATCAAGCTTTTCGATAGGATTTGTATTTCTCTTTGAACATAGCATTTTCATTGGAAGTATTGCCACATGTACCTACTCTCTCTATTTATATTACATTCAACAAACGCTTACTGAGCTCTGTCTGTATACCAGACTTTATAGTAGACACTTTGGATATAAAGGTCACTATGAAAACAGCCACTGCCTAAATAGTACTGTGCTATAGACGCATGAGACTAGGGACAAGATGGGACAGTTTGGGACAGTACTGAAAAATGGGAAGTCTCAGTGGAAGGAGTCACTCTAGATTTGGATCTTAGGAGATGAATAGGTTCTTATCGTTCTTGGAATCAGGAGGTTACCCAAAATAGGACTGCGTGAAGTCAGGACAGTGTTTCAGGAAATTGCAAGTGGACAAAAGGGTAGCGGCTACTCTGATCTTTCACCTTAGCCAGGAAACCGCCAAACGTTGCTGATCTTGAACTAGCCCTCCCAGGCAGGATCCCTGAGTTCAGGTTCAGGCTGGCTGCGATCCAAGGATTCCCAGGGAGGCAGATCCATCCGGGGTCCCTTTGGTGTGAGATGGGCCCAAGTATCCGGTAGCCAGGGGATACCTCACATGTGTGGATTACTCATGAGCCTTTTCTGGTCCTTGGACGTTTGGGAGACTTACGAATATAGGGATTCTGAATATAAGAGAGCAACCTCGCTGGGAGCAGGTGCATAACTTACTAGATTTTCACCAAGTAACCTAGGACTTTTCATCAAAGAAATGAAAGCTGCTATACTGCTCTCAGGAGACAGAAGAGGACCTAAGTTGCATTGGGGCAGATGTTACCTTATGTCTGAAAATCTGTTTCTATAAAAAGAATAAAGAAAGGCTTCTCTACCCTTTTTCCTTAAGAAGCCTCAGACACAGCACCAGCCTCGGGGGTGTGCTAT